CTTCTTGGTTTATACCCAAAAGACTTTAAAACAACATACTACAGGGACACAGCTACATCAATGTTTATAGTAGCACAATTTACAATAGCTAAACTGTGGAACCAACCTAGATGCCCTTCAGTGGATGAATGGATAAAAAACATGTGACATATATACACAATGGAATTTTACTCATCAATAAAAGAGAATAAATCATGGCATCTGCAGGTAAATGGATGGCATTTAAGATAACGCTAAGTGAAGTTAGCCAATCCCAAAAAACCAAATGCTGAGTGTTTTCTCTGATATTAGGAGGCTGACTCATAGTGGGGTAGAGAGTGGGAGCATAGGAGGAATAGAAGAATTCTAGATAGGGCAGAGAGGTGATAAAAAAAAGGGAGGGGTGGGGGATTAGCAAGGATGGTGGAATGTGATAGACATCATTATCAAAGTACATGTATGAAAACATGAATTGGTATCAACATACTTTATATACAACCAGAGATATGAAAAATTGTGTTGTATATATGTAATAAGAATTGTAATGCATTCCACTGCCATTTTTTTAAATCAATAAAAAAAGACCCTGTCTCTAATAAAATATTTAAAAGGGGTGGGGATATGGCTCAGTGGTTAAACATTCCTGAGTTTATTTCCCAGTACCAAAAAAAAAAAAAGAAAAAGAAAATACCAAAATAGCCCAGCATGGTTGTGCTCCTACTTGGGAGGCTAAGGCAGAAGAATTACTTAAGTCCAGAAGTCCAAGGCCAGCCTGGGCAGCATAACAAGACCCTGCCTCAAAATAAATAAATAAATAAAGACAAATGAGTACAGGTGTGTCCTAAGAAAGTGTCATTATAAAAATACCCCATGGAGTGAATATGGCCCAGAGGCCATAGTTTGCTGAGCCCTATACTGAACCATGAAACATTGAGTCTAGTTAAATCACCTCCGTAATCCTAGTTGAGATCTTTCTGAATCAATCAAACTTCAATCAATTTCTAGAAATGGGACAGACCTGACACAAATACAGCAGAATTGCCTGCCCAGACCATAATGTGTGGAAGACACAGGTATAAGCCCAGCCCTGATCAGCCCAACCCTGTAGAAATGTCAGCCAAGTCACTGAGTCACGGGATGGTGTGTCGTGCAGAACGACCATAGCAATAGAGTATTAACTCAGTGGAAAAAGTATTAATTTTGTCAGTTTAGAGTTAAAGATGGGGCTTAAAGCAGCTAAATAACTTGGTCATATCTCAAGCAGCCAGAAAGTCTCAGGGCCACAATTCAGATACAGGTGTTTTTCAAGTCCGGTACTTATCACTTAAAAACTGCTTCCACCCTAAACTTCTGTCTTTATTTGGAGTAGTTTAATTTATACATCGATAGATATGTATGATTTAGTCTAAAACACGAAGAATTTTAGGTAGCTTTTAACTCCTCTGATTTCCCCTTAAGAGGGGGAAATCAGAGGAGTTAAATCTAAGGATTTGGGCCCTTAAAAATCATATTGCCCTGGCTTGAAGTTTGGAATATTTTCTTTGGGTTACTAATGCAGATGTCTTCATGATGTATCAGAATCTGTATTGTCCTGGTTACTATTTTCCAAAACTCCAGTAAAAAGAAATAACGTAAATGGCCTACTCTTGCACACAGCTCCTATCTCTCCATTTTACGGCTCACATTTTATGCAGGGCTGTCAGAGCTTTCTGAATTAAATGTGACTTAGGGCCTGCGCTTGCTGACTGAGGAGGCTCATAGGTCCTATAGCTCATCCACAATCTTGTACTTGAGCTGTCAAGTATGAGAGATTGGTGCCAAATTCAACCCAACACAGCCCCTTCCCAGTAGTCTGCCTTCGACAACTCCTCCTTGTCAAATCCAACAGTTTACATAGAATATATAGTGAATAAAGTACCCTGAAAGGTACGAAGGTAGAGGTGCTGCTTCAGCTGATAGCAGGAACACCTATCAGCTTCCCACAGGGCTGACATTTCAGGCTGGCAGGGGGGAGATGATCATAGGATTTTTGTGCTGCTGCTTCTGAATGGATCGCACGGACTCCCAAGGCAAATCACTGCACTTCTCACCATCTGCCTTCACGAAGAGTCAGTGGGATGCAACTATGCAACTCAAAAAAACTTTTTTTTTTTTTAATTTATAAAGTAGAGCCCTCGGGTGACTGGTTTATAGAACACAAACAGGATTCCCTAGGAGTGTCCTCTCTATTAAATTGTAATGCTTTGGGTGCCAGAAACTCTCTGCCCTTCTCCTCACGACCTGGAGAAACTTCTGGCCTTAAAATCATCAAACATTAAACCAAGAAGCCAGAAAGGTACTTGTTAGCAGTGCTCAGGGAATCTTGGGAGATCTGCTTAAAAAAAAAAAAAAAGGGACCAAAGTTATACAATTACCCATTGACAGTTGACCTTCCAGCCAGCCACAACATTTGTATGTTGAGTCATTGACTTTCTGGTTAGTGTGACCCAAGAGGTAGCCACTGCGTCTTGATGTGTTGAAAGAAAGAATGTTTTGGTCAGGAAAGAAGATAGCCCAGGAAACAGAAAAAGGAGGACACAAAAATGAGCCTTGGACCATGTTGTCCACAGTAGTAAGGGGTACATGTCATTAGACATGGCCACCCTGGTCCTCACTGCAAGGCTGTTCCAAGTATGGAGGTGAACGTGACAATGACAATGACAATGAATATTATGTTAGTCCCCTTCGTGGAAATCATCTCCCACTTGGAATGGATGTGTCAGACTATCTCAGCTCCATGCCATTTAAAGTTCAGTTCCTCTCTCTCTCTGTAGACTAAATCCACACTCACCAAACACGTTTTTTTTAAGTTCATTCTTGTTAGTTATATATAACAGTAGGATTCATTTTGACATAATTATTAAAGCACAGAATATAATTTGTTCTAATTCAGTCCTCAGTCCTTTTCCTTTCCCTCCAGTTCTTCTTCCTCCTCTTCCCTCCCCTCTACTGATCCTTCTGCTATTTATTTATAGTGCTTTTAATTCATGTTTTAGTACATGATGGTAAGATTCACTGTGATATATTCATATATGTACATAGGAAAGTTAGGTCAGATTTATTCCATTTTTCTTCCTTTATCCCATCCCTCCTCCCTCCCCCATCAACCCTCTTCCTCTACTCCATTGATCTTTCTTCTATTTTGATAGAATTCTGTCCCCTTTCCTTTTCCTTATTTTGGACTAACGTCTGCATTTTGCACATAAGCTCACGAACAGCAATGAGCAGAGCACTGTGGTGTGGCATGACTCTGGTGTCTTTAACAGCGATTCTGCAGAGAGTACCAACATGGATTCTCCTCTCTTATCACAATTTATCTGCTAGGGCAACTTGACTACAGGGAAAAAAAAGGGTCTAAACTCTGGAATTCAGAAAATCTGGCCATGGAACAAGTACAAGTGTGAGTTTCCCTGAAATTCCTGCCATTCTGAAACTCATTCCAGTCTCATTGATGTTTAGGTTCGTATGAGTCTGCCTCTTCACACCTGATCACATCTGCACCCTGAAAAGAGTAACTTTTCCATTCTTCAAAAATAGAGGGACTTGTCCACCTGATATTGATTGGACAAAATTTCCTCAACCCCATTAAAAACCTCAGTCTTTCTATATACATGAAAATCTCATGATGGATCTCCATCTTTCAATGTGCCCAACCCAAATATCAGACATTTCCAATAAGAAGATTCTACCTCATATAACATCATAAGAGAAAAGGGCTTTGTGCTATATAATTAAGATTTAATGTAATTTATATATACACATTTTTTATAAAACTTCTACCACTCTCTCTTTGAGAGTCTGAAACTTCCCCTCAAAACATCCATCATTGCCCTAGATAATGCCTCAGTAAGAGGTACAGAAAAATATCTTCTGATTTCAGTAGAAGGATCTTGATATACTTATGATAGAGTTGGTTTGGGGTAGTTGAGAAGTGAACAAGGCATGAATAAACAGAGATGGTATGTTTGAAGATGCAACAACATAACTTAATTACTGAGCATCCATAATGGTTAGTACTGGTTACGGTGGTGGGGGTGGGGGTGGCGTGTGTAAATGCATGTGTGTATTTCTGTGTATACAAATGCGGATGCACATACAGATATAAGTAAACCATAATATTTTATTTCAAAGAGGTCCAACTAAGGGGAAGAAACATGTTCTCTTTTGTATTAGTCATCTTTCCACCACTGTACCAAAATAACCGAGACCAACAACTTAAAAGTAGGAAAGGTTTATTTTGGCTCACAGTTTCAAGATTTCAATCCATGATCACTTGACCCTGTTGCTTTGGGCCTGTGACAGCATAGCACATCATACTGTCATGATGTGCTTTTTCCCATTAGGCTCCACCTCTGAAAGTTTCCACTGCCTCTCAATAGCACCCCAGGCCCGTGACCAAGCCTTTTACACATAGACATTTGGGAGACATTCCAATGACAGCTCCTTCATAGGTAACGGTGCTAACCCAAGCTGTGCTATCCCCACGTCCCATCCCCTGTTAAAATCACCTACCAGATAGACTACTCTAAAGCCAGTGCCGTCATGTGGTTAGGCAGGGATTCTTAGTAGAGAATGAACCAATGTTCTTCCCTTCCTGTCCCTCCTACATAAAAGCAGTTTCATTAATAAATCTCCCAACATCTAAAGATTCTCTTATGAGTGAAAAAATAGAAACTATTGTTGTTTAAAAAAACATTTTTATTCAAACTTGGAAACTTAAGTAGCTAATCTCCGGGCTTTTTTTTCCCCCCTGAAGCATCCTCTGCATATATAGTTTTAAAACTCTAAAATTTAAATGTTCTTTTTTCCTAATAATTGTCTAGTAATGGATATCAAATATAGCTAATCGATAACCAATACAATAACCATAATCCATTCTGCTTCTGTTCTGAGAATCATTACCAGGGGAGTAGAAATTTTAAGAAAACAATGGGAACACTGACAAGGGTTAAATAAAGTTATTACCGAAAGCTCAGGAAAACTCAACCAAAAATGGGGTCTTTATTATTAATAGATTGCTCTAGTAAGTGACACACAGAACACTTAACTGTGAGAACATACTTTTTTCATATGCTTCAAATACATAAAAGCACATTACCTTGAACAAGTCATATAAAAAGCTTCAGGAAACTGTAGCTCAGATAAGGTAAGAGGGTTTTCCCCAATCCAGAGAACAGGTGTGTGTGTGTGCGTGCTCGTGCGCACGCTGTGAATATGTGTGTTTTGTGTGTTCAAACCCAATCCTTGGATTTTAGATTTTTCATGTTAGAATTCATGTTCTTTTCCATTAATTACACCATGAAGATTTACTGCAGTTCAGTCCACAGTATGCAGAGCTGCTTTTAACATTAGGAAAACAAGAGAAACCTTGTGAAGAAGTCTACACAGAAAACTGCCTAATAGGTTTTGTTTATAGACTTTAGAGTTGTTCAAACTATTAAAACTAAAATATTGCAGTAATTTTTCTCTTGTGTGACAAACCTAAATGAACATTTCACAACAGTCATTAAAGTACTACTTAAGAAATATGTATTTTAAATTGAGACTAATCAAGAGGTAGAAAGGAAAACAACTAACTTAAATTTAATGTCATGTATAGAAGAATATTGAGATTTAAAAGTTAACCCTCTGTTGTAAAAATTGAAATACACCTAGTTGCATTCAAGAGAAAAAAAAATCTACATTTATACAGATTAATGTGTTTATAGTTTATATATGCTGAATAAATTTTTATGCTTATTTACTTTATTGTAGAAATCAAATTAGGCATCACTGGGTACTAAACTCAGTGGGTAAAAATTATAAGGGGATAGGATAGGAACACAGTCTCAATTTATTATCCCTCATATGATTATAAAGACAAAAAGATATCTTTATAATAGACAAATCTGGTTAGTATACCCTTACTATGCTGATTGAATTTAATATCACTAATAATGAAGCAAACTGATGTCTTAAACCTGTTGATATAATACAATGTGAATAGCACATAACCAGACCCCAAATGTTTATTCTGAATCAAAGACTAAGAACATACCAAATAGGAAAAATCCAGAGTAAAGGTCATTCTGTAAAATAACTGGCATATACTCTTCAAAAAAAAAAAAAATCAATGTCACGATAGACAAAAAACAACAAAAAAGTGAAGGAATGCTTCTATTTTAATGAAAACGTAACAGAAGGCAACATATAAGCCTTGTTTTATTCTTAGATCCTAAAGAAGTTATAAAGGTGGTTTTAGAAAAATTGGATAAATTTGTGGAATGTATATGTCAAATACCATTGTGGTACTGTGACATTTCTTGGGTGTGGTAATGGTACTGTGGTTTTTGTGGAGACTATGCTGTTCATACAAGAAATATGTCTAAATATAAAGAAGTAAAGTATCATGATATTTGCCATTTACTTTCAAATTGTTTAGGAAAAAAATTGTTTTTGAAAGCTAAAGCAAATGTGCTAAAATGTGAACAACAGATGAATCTAGATGAATGGTATACAGAGGTTCTTTATTCCATTTTACAACTTTTCCATAGTTTTGAAATTTTATAAACAGTTGGGAAAACAAAACCATTCATTAAATTCTTTATTTCATATCACTATTTCCACAGTATTGAAATATAGACTTCGCACACAATCAATTTTTTATAGATTCATAATATGAAATGTTGATGAATGTTGAAAATTATAACAATCAGAACTTAAAAGGATCACACAAAAAACTTAAAAATTATTGTGAAGTGTCTACAGCAAATATAAAGCAAGAATAAAAGGATATTAGCAGTGCTAATCTTTAAATGGGTTTTTCCCCATTCCTACTTTCTCTGCTCCCTTCCCACTTACAGCCTCAGAAAATATTCATTATATACTGGAAGTATAGAATTCTTAAAAACCAACTGCATGGGAAGTACTCGATTTTCTTTACAGGTAAAATCCAGTCTTCAGCAACCTGTAGGCCATTGAAAGAGTAACTCCATATCCAACAAAAAAAGCCAAAGCTCTATTTGGTTGGGGAAGGGGTGTCAAATACGCAATTGTGTGGTAGATCCGTGCTCCAACAAAGAGCCTGAAGTGCAGGAGAGCAGTAGAAAGGTCTGGACCACTCAAGGAATATAGCAGCCCAATTCCAACAAATGGAACAATATTTTCAAGGTCATTCAGGTGCGCTCTGTGGGGAAAAAAAATGACTCTTAAAATTTCAAAATCAGCAGCAACATATTCATTCTTCCCGCCCTCCAAAGATTAAATGTAGATGTTAATGGATCTTTAAACTGCAAAGTAAAAGCCTTTCTCTCAAACTGCTTTGCTTCCTCACTCACTGGACTTTCATTGTTATATCATCTCATTAATTTTTTTTTAATTTTAGTGTATCTCTTTTTTATTGGTTGCTCAAAACATTACAATGATCTTGACATATCATATCTCATACATTTGATTCAAGTGGGGTATGAATTCTTATTTTTACCAAGTGTACAGATTGCAGGATCACATTGGTTATACATCCACGTTTATACATACTGCCATACTAGTGTCTGTTGAAGTCATTTTATAGTTTTGGGAATATAAAAATTGCATCTAGGAAAATTCACTTCATTTTTATAAATATGAAATATACATATATATATTTTTGCAATTCAAGATTCCTCCTACAAAAAACTCTCTTCACAAAGGAAAAAAAAAAAAACCTTTTGGGGTATAATCTTTCCTAAGAGACTTCCTTTAATTTTTCTAGTCTTTAAAATGGTGAATGAGAAAATGCTTGCCCATTTACCCAAACCACTAGATTACAAACTTAATAGCAATAGCAACTGAACAGCAAAGACTCATCTCTTCAAATACAAATAGCACAACACATAAATAGCCTCTTGAAGATGGCCAAAACTTTAGCTACTCATATCTTTAAACCACAAAAGGAATAAGTTAATAAGCTTGCAGTATAAGACGGAATATACACAAAAGATGATAAGAAGTCAGGTGTGGTGGTGCACCCCTGTGACCCCAGAAACTTGGGAAGCTGAAGCAGGAAGATCTCCAGTATAAGGCCAGCCTCAGCTACTTAGCAAGACCCTGTCTAAAAACTAAAAATATAGAAGGGGCTAGGAATATAAATCAGTGATAGAGCACAATCTGCAGTCCTAAAACTTTAAAATGTTTTAAAAAGATAAAAGAGACTTCCTAACTTTTATCTTTATATCACCACTAGAAGAAAACAAAAAGTATAGTTTAGCCATAAGGCACCATGGGCTTTCCTGGCTAGAATTTTTAATAAAAGGCACATATATTACTGACTCGACATTCTTTTTTTTTTTTTGACTTGACATTCTTAAAAGTTCATAATCTTGAAATCTGATGCCCCCTTTTAAGCCTACAGAATGACAAACTGCTTTAGTTCCTTTTTGAAAATATTTATTTTTTAGTTGTAGTTGGACACAATACCTTTATTTAATTTATTTATTTGTATATGGTGCTGAGGATCAAACCCAGGGCCTTGCCTGTGCTAGGCGAGAGCTCTACTGCTAAGTCACAGCCCCAGCCACCAAAACTGCTTTAGTTTCTAAACTAGGACTAGAGATTTTGATAGAGTTTGTCAGCTATTGATACATATACCAAAGTAAAAAAAAAACATTTCTTTTATAAGGCTCTTCTACTTTGGCATGAAAGATAATTATTTACAGGTTGCTGGCGCACATCTGTAATCCCAGCAGCTCGGGAGGCTGAGGCAGGAGGATGGCAAGTTCAAAGCCAGCCTCAGCAAAAGCAAGGCGCTAAGCAACTCAGTGAGACCCTGTCTCTAAGTAAAATACAAAATAAGGCTGGGGATGTGGCTCAGTAGTGGGGTACCCCTGAGTTCAATCCCCAGTATGCCCCACCGCCCCCCAAAAGATAATTCTTCCATGTTGCCTGCTCAGTGGTCATGGCTCTCCTTCCCTCCCTTCCCTTCTGTCTTCCTGAAGAGTCTCCAGGCTGCCTGACAAAGACAAGGACAGCCTACAAGGATGAAGAAGGCACACCTGGGAAAAGGCTGAAATAAAGAACCGCCTGCCCCTGAGTAAAAGCAAAGGCAGAATGAAGTGGCTTTGTCCCCTCTGGTTCCCGGAACAGTGCCAGGACCACTGAGAATCAGGCAGGAGTGGGAAGGAAGGACAGAACTCCGTGCAGAAGGGCCCGCCTCGCCCGTCCACCAGTGCCATTTGTTTTGTTCCTCGGAATTCTCCTGCCAGACCAAGACGCCTTCACTTCCAGTCTCGGGCATGTCACGATTTTCCTTCATGATGGTGTGACAGAAATTCCAACGTTGGGGAAGAAATGACAAAAGGGACACCCTTGGAAAACCATGTCTACTCCTAAGCCTCTATTAGATGGCTGTCAAATAGAACACAACGTTAAAGCAAAGAAGAAAGTCACAGGCAACAGGGGGAATATGGAAGAAGAAGGAGAAAGTCAAGGACCGGGTCCTCTTGGCCTTATTGAGCCCTCCAACTTTTTCCTTCTCTCATTTCTCCTTTTCCATTCTTTTTCTCTTACATCAGTCCTCGAAAAGCTTTTCTAAATAACACTCCTCATTGTCCTAGGAAGGCCCAATACCCACAGCCGGGTAAGTATACACCTGGTGCCAACCTGCCTGGGTATACACTTACTGACACCCCTATGTAGCTCACCCCACCCTTCTCCTCGTCCTTTCTTTTGTCCTTCCCACAGTGGCAGCCTTCTCCATCTAGCCTTCTTTACAGACAGCAGCTAGAACCTGTTACCAGGTAAACAGCAGTTTGCCCAAGCAGCCATTCTTACCCGGGTCTACTGTCCACAGCCCCATGAGTCCATGTTCTCAGTTTTCCTTCTCTTTGGACAGATGCCCCTTGGCACACACCTGCCCTGTGATGGACAACCACCAGCTCTGTGCTCAAGAGACCATGGTCACGCATTCCCTCAGATCAGAATAACTTGGATCATGGCATCTACCTGACCTGGACTAGAGTTGCTACATGCATTTAACAACTGTCAAAGGTCGGCCAACTACAAAAGGAGCTGTAACCATACTTCCTGCCTACCCCGTCTTCAGTCTTCACCAAACCTCTCAGTCTTAGCACACAGCAGTATGTCCAAATTCCCACAAAGAAATTTCCTCAAATTGTTCTAAATCATATTTTTCAGGTTACTCCTTCATAAAATATTCCTAAGTCCATAATATTCTCTATTATTGACATGTTGATCTTATTTTCATGGGGAACATTATAAACCTCTGAAGAGGAACACTAGCAGGAAACATAGTTTGGGGAAGGAAATGTTTTTAGTGTGTTTTTTTTTTTATTTTGTTTTGTGTTTGTTTGTTTGTGGTACTACAGGTTCAACCAGAATTGTTGAACCACTGAGCCACATCTCCATCCCTTTTTTAATTATTATTTTTTCTTTTGAAACAGGGCCTTGTTTAGCTACTAAGGTTGGCCTTGAACTTGTGATCCTCCTGTCTTGGCTTCCCACCATGCCTGGCCAGGAACCTAGTCTTAAAGCTCCTTGACAGGATCCCAAAAGAAGATATAGCAGTGATATATACACAAGGCTCTCTCAATTAATGCTTTGTTCATACACTGGGACCACATGAGGGATCACACAGTTCAACCTCCAGCTCACATTTTAATCTCTCTCTCTCTCTTTTTTTTAAGTATTGGGGATTGAATCCAGGGGCAATAAACCACTGTGCCACATCCCCAGTGCTTTTACTATATTTTATTTAGAGGAAGAGTCTCGCTAAATTGCAGAGACTGGCTTTCCTCCTGCCTCAGCCTCCAGAGCTATTGGGATTACAGGCATATGCCACCACGCCCAGCCCCACATTTCAATCTCTTGACAGAATCCCCAACAAGTATCACTGAGGATCCACTGAACCCTCCCAGTAAATAGGCATAACCTTTGAAGGTGGGATGGTAGTATGTCGTCAATGTCTCTGCTTTCCCTAAACCCAAGTTCTTTTGAATGACTAGTTATGTGTGCCCCATTTGCCTTTCAACTTTCACTTATCTTGTGGTAGTGAATGTACATGGTCTGGAATTCTTCCTAGAATAAGTGAAACAGTATTAAATAGATGATTTCCTAATCATCAGTGATTCTGTCTGCCTACAGCTCAAAACAACTGACTTTGAGCCACAAACCTTGATATTTCAACGTACCTTACTCTGTTTTTAACTAATTGATCTGTATGTGTATATATATATTTATTTTTTCAATATCACATTCCTTAAAGCTTACCTTTAACTTCATTTGTGCCCCTCGTGGGTCCCTAACATTGAAATATGCAGATATGCTAATAGTGTGGAATTTATAATTGTTTTATAATTGTGTAATGATGGAGAGAGGGGGAAAAATCTAGGTTAAATGGAAAAAGGAGATTCTTGAAACTCCTTCTCTGAAAATTATATCCAAAAGTGTACTGTTATTGGAAATTTTTTTTGAGAAAGCCAATAAATTCTGAAAAACTAGAACAGGCAACTAGCACCCTATTCTGCCAGATACCCTCCTCTTGCCACATTGTAAGGTCAGTGTCTGATCACCAGGGGGCGCAGTGCACACAGTTGCTGCACCTCAGGGACAACCCTTTTCAGAACCAGGTCAATTGCAACCCGACTGGAGATCAGCTTAGATTATGGCTTTCACTTTCAGAGGTACAATTCTATGGGCACAGGGGTTGAGGATGAGAAGTAGGAAATGATAGTAGAAAAAAAAATCTAAATTCTCCCCAATAAAATACCTTTTATTGTTAAAACTTTCATATATGAAATTTGGATCTTCCTTTCAATCTTCCTAATACCACTGAGGGTCCTAGCACTTTCTGGTCCTGCTGTCAAAGGTGAACACCAAAAAGGATGATATATATTTTAAACCACTATGTCTAATGGCTTTGAGAAATCTTTAACAGTGAGTGGCACTCGCCTTTTCTAATTTTAATTCTTTTCCTTTGATATTGTTTGAGATCCTCACATTGATTGTGTCTTGAAACTATTTTGGATCCACACTCTCTACACAATCCATTTTCAAGATTGACTAATTGACTAACTCAGGAGCTGCTGAATTAACCAGTGTATAATTAAAAGAAACAGAAGTGAACATTTTGTCCTAAATCTGTAGCACAGGCTTTCTGTTAGGAGAGGGGGAAAAAAAAAAAAAAAAAAAAAAACTTGCTTGATAAAAAGCTTGGAGATAAAACTGTTTTTGCATAAATAAAAAAGTGAATTTAATTTTAGTACAGGAAAGGCAAAAAAGTATATGGGGCCAGAGAAAATGCTGGATGCTACTTGGGGTACAAGAAGGTGTGGTGAAAATTCTCCCTGAGGATTCTGTAGGACACTGTCAGACACGAAACTCTTAATACACAATGCTTAGGTTGCCACACAGTAACCTCCTCTGTACTTCAATTTAGTTAAATCCACTTTTATACACATTTTTTTAAACTGATTTGTCAAGGGAATTGAGAGAAAGACGGAGGTTACGCCCAGTGTAACAAAATGCAGAATGCAGAAGCATGCACAAATGCATGAACCCAGAGCCTGAGTTAATCTTGAGGCCATATGCCATGCACCATGAGAGAATCTGCAGAAATCTTGAGATGGGCTTCAGACTTTCACCAGGAATCAAAAAAGGGATAATGCCAATATGATCTAGACACTTCAGCTGGTACTCATTTCTCTGAAGAGTGTCAACTTCCATATTTCAAACCTTATGCAAAAACACCTGTTTCTTCAACCCTTTATATGGGTTGAGTCTCGTCTCTGGAGAAAGATGACAAAACTGCAAGAATTCACTGTCTCCATTTTACCTTCTACCTGCCATTACTGCTATACAGAGCACAGTTATTAATCCCAACAAAGTCAGGTGTTTTACCTTATGTACATACATGACTATATAACCTGTGTGATTCTACATCATGTATAAGCAGAAGAATGAGAAATTATACTCCATCTATGTATGATGTGTCAAAGTGCATTCTACTGTCATGTTTAGCTAATTAGAATAAATAAAAAGTACATACAAAAGTGCAACTAAATTGGTAATATGTGCAATAACAGTTATATTCAGAGATGTTGAGATCTCTACTTTTCTGTAGTTATACTGAGTGGATGCCTTTTTTTTTCCTTTTCTCCAAGGCCCAAACAACTTCACTGAGCTCCTTGACCAAAATTCTTTGAGTAGGTAATTTCCAGAGACACTGGTTTACCTTCGTACACGTTCCACACTGTCATCTGTTCGAAGATACTTCTTGGCATTCTCTCCTTTGCCAAAGCTCTCACAGTCTTCTGGGTTGGCAAACACCTATTCCAAACGCCAAGGGGGGGAAAAAAACTTATTGCAAACACCAAACAGCTTGAGGGTATTCTACCTAAGTTATCTGCATTTTAATGTCAGAAATGAAATGCAGGCCTCTAGGTTGGTCCCGAAGCAAAGAAATTTCAGAGCAATAAATCAGACAGGAGCATCCACAGTTCATTCACAGTTTAAACCTGAATCTTTATTAACAATACAAAATATTTTTTTAAATATTTATTTTTTAGTTGTAGTTGGACATAATACCTTTCTTTTTAATTATTTATATGTGGTGCTGAGGATCGAACCCAGGGCCTTGCATGTGCTAGGCAAGCGCTCTACCGCTGAGCCACAATCCCAACCCACAAATTATTTCTAAAAGCAGCATAAATGTGAACTTAAATAAAAACTAGAATATAAAAATAGTGAGAAGAAAGGAAAAAATAGAAAGAGGCATAAGTCTGAGTCAGCACTAATTATTATTATTACTATGGTGCCCTAGCATTTTTTTCACAATGATGATGTGGACACACCATCCCTCGAGTATTTTAGCATTTCCAAGGAACCAGCTAGTCTGAAGGTAATACATTTAATTACCAAAGATGTTAGAAAAAAGGCAAGAAGCATAAGAAAGTGAGGGATGGGAAAGGTATTTTGTACTTTGATAGGATAGGTATGCTTCTTCTCTTGAGCCAGATAAAACCTTGGGTCAAATAATATTAAATTTAAGAAGCTGAATTGCTTCCTAGGAAGAACAAGTTAACATTTGAGGGCATGGCACGTGTTCATGTATCGCTTCCTCTGATTATTATGCTCTTTGAAATGATTTCCCCATCCCTTGAAACTTGAAAGATGCATTTAAAAAATATTTAAGTCTGTCCCAATGTTTAATAATTTATAATAAGAAAAAAAACTATAAAATTAGTTCTAATTTAAGCTTGAAAAACATCTCATAAATGTTATAACTTTTTCTTAATATGATAAGAGCTTTCATTCTAGATAAAAGTATGGAGGAGAACTGATAGGCAGGGTTGGGATACAGTATCAACAGCTCTTGCAGACAGGCCTGTTGGCCTTGTTCGTCACAGTATCCTCTAAATAAATGCCTGGCTAGGAGATGTTTGACATGTTCATTTTAAATAAAGAAATTAATATATTACAATGAAAGAGTATGAGATCTGGATTTAAACTATCTGAATATGAATCTCAGCCTTGTCCTCTACTGTTATGCCACTGTGGGGCCCCTCCTGCTATGGACTGAATGTGCCCTTACAAAATGTATGTATTTGAGCCTAATCCCCAGTGTGAAGGTATCTGGAGGTGGAGACTTTTGAGAGGTGATTAGATCAGATGTGTGGAACCCTCATGGATGGGATTAGTGCCCTTATATAGAGACCCGGCAGAACTTGTTTCTTTCTTTCTCTATTCACCCCAAGTAAGGATGCAAGGAGAACATGGCCATGTGCACATCAGGAATCCAGCCCTCACCAGGCACTGGATCTACTGACATCTTGATCTAGGACTTGCCAACCTCAGGAACTGTGTGGGACAAATATTTGCTATTTAAGCCATCCAGTCCAAGATATCCTGTAGAGGCAGCTCAAGATGAATCTGACAGCTACTGACCTGAACCTCTGTGTCTTGCAGTTCCTCTATAACATGGGGGCCAACCTCAACTTCACCTGACTACGCTAACAATCACATAATGGCGCCTGCCACTCCACAAATTCAAATTCCCTCCTTCTTTTAAGACCAGGAGGATTTCCCTGCTTCTACTTTGTTTCCAGAGGACAATTGAAACCCTATCACAGAATTAAATATGTGGGAATGTTCTCCAGATATCAACCCCATATCTCCAACAGTGACAAGGAAACACCTCAGAGAGGGCCAGGACCTCCAGACAGGAGCAAGACTCTAGAGGACAAAACCTCAGGACAGGAACCTAAGAGAGAAACAGGGGGCTTCCAGAAAGAAGATGTTTAATAGACACAGGGATAGCACCAATGAAAATTTTACACTTTGTCTAGCAGCCTCTCTGCTCCTCTCACTTGGTCCTAGGCCTGCTTGAACAGGGGATGTGTACTTCAAAATCTTTCTGTCACCTTGACCCTGCCTCTTGACTTTTTTTAAATTCACTCTTACAATGCTGGGTAGAAATACTACTAACTTAAGCCAGAAGTACACAAAATTCAATGGTTAGCATACTCCCGTCATAAGAGCCCACTCTGGGAAGAAGAAGAACTTTAATTCTTAGCCTTTTTTCTTTCTTTTATTCAATATTTTTCATCTCTCCCCACTCTCACCCCACAAGTTATACTCTAAACCTATAACAGAACTGAAAACACTAGTCCAAAAAAATGTCTTACCTTTCTCGTTAGTCTATAGAATGCAGTTGCAGGACTCATAAGCATCATTTTTGAAAGGATAATCGTTGTATAGGAGGCAAAAGCCATGAATACTTCATTTTCCAGTAGCTGGGTGAGATCAGCCATTTTTCAATTTTGCTCTGGAATTTTCAAAAGATTTCAGACAAGAAGGAAGATTTCAAGAAGATTTCAGACAAGATTTCAGACATAAATATGCAAAATAACTTCATGATCACTAGGTGTACTTGCAGCATTGACCACATTGTTCTTAAAAATATCTGGGAGCCATTTAAAAAAAAACTGATCATTAAGTTTCAAATTTTTCAATATAAACAGTAGTATATTTTCTCTAGTTCTATGTCATTAAGCCTAAAGATTAAAGATACTAAATAAAAATTTGTGGGTATTACAAGCAAAAAAAAAAATAGCCAGAATGCTCTAAAAATGGACCACAACCATATATTTGCATCAAGATGGACCACAGATTGAATGCAAAAGACCAAAGGCCATGGACTGATCTCTTTGGAAACACCCAACCATATACACAGCAGTACCACTGATATTGTATTGGGATGCCTAAGTTCTAAAAGTATGTCCTGCTTTAGAAAACCCACCTTACTCCTCTGTGTCATTTCAGGAGTGTTCAAGATCTTAGGTGCCATGATTTGAATTCCAGGCCCATGATGTGTCTATTAACCTTGCTTGAGGAATTTAGCCTCTCTGAGGATAAATGTCTTCATTTATAAGACAGGAATAGTAATAGCTCCTAACATTGACTTGTTGCAAGATTTAATTAAGAAAACATGCAGAAAAAAACTTAGCACAGCAGCTGGCCCATAGAAAACCCTTGATAAAGTTTATGAGATCCTTAACCTAGCATCATTTTGATCATCATGATCATGGTCATCATTAACACCCACACAGGTGAAGAAAGAGAAGCAAGACAACAGAGGCATCCAAATAACAGGCTTGCAAACACACACTTAGGAAATGGCATGCATGGTACTTTAAAAGAAAGAAGGATGAGCTTTCTATGTCTCTTCAGGTCATTTCACCTCCCATATTTACAGCATTTAAATGCTGTCAAGGATAAAGTGAATGAAACGGAGAGTGAACTGGAACTATAATTGGGTCAGGAGGAAAGGTGAGGCACAATAGTGATACTGAAGTCAAAGTGGATAGGAATTTAGGATAATGCTTAAATTTAAATCACAGCCTTATCTTGTGGTCATTCCTTGTAACGTCCTCTTGTTTCGTCATCAGCTCTGCTATCTGCTTCTATCTCTTCCATATAAACACCTATCTTTCTCCTAACCGACTTAGACCCTATATAATTTGTTTAGACTGCAGTGCTCTCTTCTCAATGATGTCCTTTCCTGCCCTTAAATCTCAAACCTTGTTAGACTGACATCTATCCAATTCTGATCATTCTATCCATTTACAAATAATCTACAAATCCACATATGTATTTCTATATTTTGTTACTGGTCATGTAGTTGTTCATGAGTTGCTGTTGAATTGTGATATAAATCACATCCATAAACATACATTTTTAATTTCCCAAGAATGTGCTATGTGTCCAATTATACCACATACTCTAGGTGCAGTACCTTACAAAATCTTTTTAACTATAATACTGTAACCCTCATAAATACATCCATTTCACACATAAAGAAAATGGAAATTAGGGATATTAAGCAGCCAAGAAAAACAAACCCAGGTCTCTGACCTGACATCCTATATGCTAACACATTGCACCAACTCCTTCAAGAGACCTGCTTAATTTACCTTTTGGTTGCTTAATTCTGTTTAATTCTGATTCAACCAAAATTGGATTCCCACTGTGGCTGGCACAGCTAGGTACCCCTTGCATATGTTTTTTGCTTTCTTCTTCCTGTTATGCTATGTAGGAGGTATTATCATTCCCATTTTGCAGATAAAGAAACCAAAGCTTCCTATGTATATTATGATTTTTATTTCCTTAGACTAAAAATATACTCCGTAAATTTAGGCAAACAGAATCTACACACAGCCAGGCACACACCTATAATCCCAGTAGGCAAAGAGGCTAAGGCAGGAGGATCACAAGTTCAAAGCCATCCTGGGCAACTTAGTGAGTTCCTAAACAAATTAGTGAGATTCTGTCTCAAAATTTTAAAAAATGTTTTAAAAAAAGGGGAGGGGTGATGCTGGGAATATAGCTCAGTGGATGAAATTCCCAGTACAGAAAAAAGAGAAAGAGGGAAAGAGAGATTGATTACATACAGTTGTCCCTCAGTGTCCTATGGTTCCAGAATCCCGGAACAACCCACTGTAGAAACCCAAATCTGTGGTGCTCAAGTGCCCAATATAAAATGGGCTCGTATCTGCATATAACCTGTGTACATTCTCCCACACACCCTCCCTTAATTTAAATCATCTCTAGATGGCTTGTAATACCTAACACAAAGTAAACACTAGGCAAACAGCAGTTATACCATATTATCTAGGGAAAAGTTACAAGGAACAAAGACTGTACGTGTTTAATACGGACACGATTTTTTTCCCCTAATAATTTCAATCCGCAGTTGTCTAGAACCTACAGGTATGAAGGATCAAAGGTAATCTAGATATTAAAAAAGAAAAAACAAATCCCACATGATAGTAAATTAATCCACCTCTATGAGTTTATAGTCTTGAAAGCACAGTATGTTAGGTTAGTTCTCAGTGCCCAATAATACTTCTTAAAACACGTAAAATACGTGTTCTAGTATGGGAGGGGTGGGGATCAAAGATCCTTCAGGGCTCCTGTAAAGTTAATTTGCCTAATAAAGGATCCCTAAGGCCTATGCCTCTGGACCGAGATCTGAAGAAATACAGCAGGGACCTTAACTATTTAAAAATTAGGAAGTTCAAGTAGGAAATGTTGCCACTTAATAATTTTTAAACAGTCTCTGCTGTTTTCCCCATAATGCAATGTATTCAGGGATGGAACAGAAGCCCAAGAAACTTCTTTTCTCCGTAGTAAAATTCAGCATTAAAAGAGCAGAGGAAAAAGTGGAGGCCTTCTGGAACCCTTAGCAGGAGAAATACACAAAAGATGTCAACCGCTGGGGCAGAGGAAATGGGAAGTCTTTTCTTCACATGTGAGCCACACACAGAAAGCACACCTCACACAGTAAGCATTTCTCAATTACCAAGAATGCAGTAGAGCTCCTTCCAGCCTGAATCTGTGGGAGATGGGCCAACATGGAGCCTGTGATACCACACTGTACGGCTTCATGAACTAACTTTCCCACACAATACCTTCCACATCCCAGGTACTGAGTAATAAAGGCAAGAACATTAAGCAATTAGAGTCACTGAATGCATGGATTACAGGGATGCTGGTCTAGACTTGGTTTTAATTTTTTTTTTTTTCCAAAGCCAATTTGTTAACAACTTGTCAGGAGCCAGTGGCCCAAACTGTCATGGCTAGGCACTGCAGTGAAAACAAAATTATGAAAGCTTTCTCCCAAGAACAGTCTCCAAGAGGGCAGAGAGGAGTAAAGTAGGGGGGAAAAACTAAGAGGGTAAAGTGTAGCCAAGTTTGCAGTGGTGCATGCCTATAATCCCAGCTACTCAGGAGGCTGAGGAAAGAAGATGGCAAGTTTGAGGCCAGTGTGGAAAATTTAGTAAGATCCTGTCTCAAAATAAAAATAGTTGTGGGAATGTAGCTCAGTGATAGCACACCCATACATTCAATCCCTGGCCCAAAAAAGGGGGCAGGGGTAAAGAGTTAGGTGATTTGAATACTCTCACACACACAACAGGTGGCATGAAGAAAAAAGATAACTATGTGGTCATCCTGCTGTTTACCAGTTCTAGAATTTTCTGAAGGGATTATGACGACTACAGATTCAGCCTCCCATGAGTTTCATGCAAAAGAGGTCTCAAAAATAATCTAGAAAAGCAAGCAGAGAAAAAAACGGAACAAATTATATAAAATAAATGGTTACAAATGATGAATCGTACTGTACAGTGGTTTACTTGTTTTATTATACATTCATTGGCTGGCATCACAGTGAATATCTGCCCAGAAACCAGCTCCCAGGCCCCTGGTGTGGAGGTGAATGTTCTTTAAGAGGCCAAGGCATCAGATGATACACACATACAAACTCTAGAGGTAAAGTGGAGTCCTGGCAGATCTCAACATTGCCACTTATTACTTGCAAGTTAACTTTTCTAGGGCCTACTCACCTTTCCTGAAAAAAACAAGGTAAATGATAAATAAACCTTGTAAGGTTCTTAAGAATACTGCTTTTAGTGAAAAGTGTCTTCAAAAGCACTGAGACCTGGCTAAGGGCTATAAGAGTGTTCACTAAATAAAGAAGCTCCTACTTTGACACTGTTCTAGGCACTGAGGATACAATTTGTTTCTAAAAAGCTGTGGCATACTTTTTATTTCACTTGATCTCAAAAATCCTAAAAGAGTGAATAATATTTTCTACCTTTGATACATAAAACTGAGGGCCAGAGGCATTAAATGAGTACCCAGACCCAAATTCATAGAGAAGGGAACCAATATCAGGGCCCAGTTTCCTCAACCATATAATTCATGGGCTATCTACCATCTAAGCTAAGAATGCTAGAATGTTCTGGTTTTCTGGAGGCTGTTTTCCCAGTCAATCACATTCCCATTTGGTTTTTCTTTCCCCCAGTATCTATCGCAGAACCCTTTTCAAACTCTTAAGTTGAAGAACATTCCCTTTCCTTTAATAGGCTCTTGGCCAAAAAGAGCAAAGTTCTTTTCTTCTTCGCAGGATTACTTGGCTTCTCTAAATCAACATTGTGTAACACAGAAAATATGGGCACAGAGCCACCAGACCATGACTCTTCAATTTTGTACTTTCTGAAACTAACAAACACAACAGGTAAAACAAGGAAAAAAGATAAGTAAGTGGCTATGCTGCTGTATATCAGTTCTAGAATTTTCAGAAGGAACTGTGGTGGCTGCAGACTGAGCCTCCTATGAGGTCTCAGGCAAAGGAAGTCTCAGAGGCCAAATACTGATCATTTGGGGGGGGGTGGGGAAGGAGAGAGGGGAGAATATGGTGGAGTAAAGCATTCTTAGAGGACAGTGCTGATTTCCCTTTCCAGTCTCAAGGATTAATAAGCTCTACTCCAAAATAAATCCTTAGAAAAATCTCACTTGTCTGCACAAAGAGTCATATTCAAATATGGATCAATTTATCATGTTTTAAAATATGAATAAGATGGACAGAGCATATAAGTCCTTTTTATATATAAACTTATTTTAAAACAACAAAGTGCAATACCACCTTAACTCCCAGAAGAGCATGCAAAAAAGGTGGGTCCAGCTGGGGGTTCACAGTGGACCAGGGCCTGGGAACTCTATTAGACTGTCAGCTGTTCCTACAAATTGATCAACACCCCCATGGTACTCACGAACAGAGAAAGCAGGATGAGGAAAATCTGGGGAAATGATCAGACTGCAAAGAGGCCCTGTGACTAATAATGGAAAGCAGAGACACTAGAAGGCTTGTATGCACCTTCTCTCCACCTCCCCAGGCCAGGGTTAGCAGTATGTTAGGCCTTATGGAAAAAAATCCTTTTTTTTTTTTTTTTTTTTTTTTTTTTTTTTACTTCTTGGACTAATGGCTTCTTCCTTCGGATTTTGGGTGGGGTAGAGGGGATGCACACATTAGAATCTGCCAAGGGGGTTTCACCCTCAGCTGTCCAGTCACCTGACTCTAATAACATCACAAAACAATACAACACTCTCATTCAAGTCCTCTTGCATTATCTAACATCATTACCATCGCTATTATTTTTAAAATTTACAGATGTTTCTCTTGCCTATCAAAGTGAATAGAGAAGTACAAATTCTGTCCCTCTTTAGGTAGGTACCAAGGCCTTTCGTCCAATCAGAGCCGGCACAGGATTTTATACCGCAGAGTTGAAGTTTCTCAACAGCGATTTCCTGTGTTGCTAAAGCTTGCAAGTACTCACAACTATCCCAAAGATCACGGGACCCTTTCCAAGGAAATACTACTTTGGCTTGGAAATTTTTTAAAAAGTGAGGAAATCATCCCTTAAACATGAAAGATTCATCCTCCCAAGTTTCACTCTCGGAGTTTGAGAAAGTGTAAAAACTTAACCAACTTAGGAACTACAGAAACGCCATTCCCTTTCAGAAGTGATCCGACTGCAAAAGGGACGGCTGCAGGGAGTTCAGCAGAGCAAAGAACTTTCCGGCTGGCAGAGACCCCGCCAACTCCCGCTCCCCTTCCGCGGCCACCCTGCCGGCGCCCTCCCGCAGCATCCCCTCCCGGCACGTACAGCGAGTCCGCGAAGGTGGAGGTCTGCAAGGCTCTGCAGGCGACAGGGCGCCGGGCACTGCGCGGAGGAGCGCGCGAGGGCGGGACGCAAGCGCCGCCCCCTCTCTGGCTAATTTCCTATGAATTAATTAGCTCCTGGCCTTAGAGCCCGGCCTTGCCAAACCCCGCCCCCAAGTCGCCTGACGCCTCTCTCCCCACAAAACCAGGGATCCGCCCGTTCAGTTCTTTGAACCTTTACGTTTGGCACCAGTGGAAGCTCTACCTTCCCCTTTGCGGTGCGCAGGGGCCATCGGGGATGGGGAAGGAACTTACTATCTCACACCCTTCACGACTGGGGGAGGGGAGGGACAGGGAGCCTGTCCATTTTTATTTTGCTGAAAACAACTTAAAAGATCTTCATGTTGGATTTTTGAAAGCTTTAAAAAAAAAAACTTTTACAGAAAATTAAAATCTTGGGGGCGGATGAAGCTGATAAGAAGTCAAATTTTCTTCTCTTGAACTTCATCTTCCCTGCACCTGTGGCAAGACTTCCTTAAAAGGCTAGCCCCAGAAGAAAGTATCTTTAGTGAAGACCACTAGCAGCATTCCAAGTCACCAAACCACTTGTTTTGTCACTGTGTCCCCCACCTTCAGGGTCCAAAGTAGAATGGGAGGAGATGATACTGGACCGGTTCATTACACCATCACCTTGGTGTGTTTTGTAAAATGTAAATGTCCTTGTAAAGGACATTTAGGGAAGTATTTTAGGAAGGCATGAATACTATCAAAAATGAGATTAGGGATATTCTAACCTATCTCTCCACAATCCCCTCAATAACATTTATGGATTTGTCTTCCATGAGTTTATCTGAAGAGTTTTGAGGATTTATGTTTTGCATCTATATTGTTCTTCTCACAGTGATACATTTCACATGCTCACCACATATTGCTGTGTGTACTTCTTTTTTTTACCCCTTTTATTTTTAGAAATACCTCCAGGACTAAGTTTCTAGGATTTAATGAGCAAATCCATGTTCTACCAAAAAAGGAATTCAGAACTACCAGTTTACTGTAGAAAACAGAAATTAATCACAGGCAGTCCTGAGAACTATTTCTATGGAAGCAGAATAAGTAGGAGCACTTTAGCATCAGAAGACCCAAGTGCTTCATTTTTATGTCTGTACCTTTTGAAAACTATATTTATTCACCTACCTCTGTTAAGTACTCTAGAATCTAGCCATAACTAATTGGAAAGGACAAAATTCTCTCCAAGAGTTTAGTATTACAACTATTTCTTGAAAAAACTTCTCATTTATTATGAGGTGAACAGCCCAAATCCTATGGGTAAGATTATAGGAAAAGGTACAAGAGAGCTATTACTTAAATAACATTATTGGCAGAATGGCATTTGAACAGTTTTAGCATATTTTTGAAAAGAAAAGAACACCTGATTCATCCTAATAATCTAATTGTAAAGTGTTCAAACTATTAACTAATCAATTCGTAAATACTGAGTTCCTACTGCAATCAGTTTTAACAGTTATTGGCTGTGTGTGAGCACACGCACGTGTGTGTCAATCACTTGGCTTTGGTATAATATCAGCACTTGACTAATTAATTCAATAAACATTCATTAGGTGATTGCAAGCTATTTGGTTTGATGCCAGAAATCTAAAACTAAGATCAATAACATCAAATAATTGTCCTCACAGAATTTATAATATAGCAAAAACAAAGGCAACAAAAAAAAAACCTAGCAAGTTGTCATTAAATTTGTGGAGGAAAGTATCTCAATTTAGAAATAAGAATGACAACTTAGCAGCAAGCAGTAACAGGGAAAAGGCTGGGAAGGAATAGACACTTTGTATTCATCTTCATTTAATCCTCTTGGATGAGTGAGAGAGGAAAGGACTATTACTCAACTTGTTTCAGTTGAATACTCAGTTTGAGTAACAGGAAGCGTTTGCATTACCAATACTTCTTTTTATCATATTTTAACCCAAGAATAAAATCTTTCAGAGAAATTCAATCCAAGCGACAAGACAATTCCCTAATAAATATTTTTTTTAAAAAAAAAAAGAGTTTTAAAGGTCATGGGTGTGGGGTGGGGGAGAGCAAAGGTCATTCAGCCAAAAGTAGCTGCCACAATAGAGAAAAGGAAGCTGCCTGTTGGAGAGATTGAATCAGAAATATCTGGAAGAACAAAGCATTAGAAGGCCATTAGTTCCTACCCTTTAAAGCAGACAAAGAAGAAATATCAGACAGGATTGCCACCAGCATATAACAGGCACCTAGACTCTTCACTTTTGCCTGCAACTGTCCAACGGAGGGCTAAAGCAGAATTAAAGATTTGGGATCTCTGCCTGTTTTGCATCTGTCTTCTTGCTCAAGTCACCTTGGATTCCAGGAACAATGTGATCTGAAAAATATCTTATGATTTGTGGATGTTAACTCCCCTCCCACACACCTGGCAACACCACAGCTTTCCTACCCAAGGCCTCACCTGGCAAATCCTGAGATAATGATTAGACCACACCAGATCAAGATCACCTGCTTTGGCAGCTGTGAATAGCCTCCAACAGTGCAAACTCTCCAACCCTGCCCTTATTCCCCTTTCTATAAAACTTCGGGGTCATTGTCAGCCCCCGGAAGGCAGGGCTAAGAACACGGGTCCCCTTGTCTTCCCAGGGAACCTGCACTGATCAAATTTCTTTTCATGTCTTTATTTATTTTTTTATTTCTATAGTCTTTTATTTGTTTGTTTATTCATTCTTCTGGTTATGATACAACACCAGGATACACTTTGACATAATCAAAAAAGCTTGGAACTAACCTACTTGTATTCAGTCCCCAACATTTCACCAGCCCCCACCCCCTCATTCTCTCCCTTCCCCTTCCTCCCCTGCTAATCCCTGATCCCTCTTCAATCCATTTACAGTTCCCTTTTTTTAAAATTAGTGTCTTATGGATGTACGCAATGCCAGGACCCACAATATCACATCCATGCACACAAATACAAAAGTCCACTCACATTCATTCCACTGTTCTTCCCTTTCTGTGTCTCTTTTTCTTCCTTTTCAATCCCCTTTCTCTATTGATCTTTCTGCTATTTTGAAGTAATTCCCTCTCCCCTCTTTTTTCTTTCCTTTTTAAAAAATTCTTCTCCCCCCCCCCCGCCATGCTTATTTTGGATTAGCCTCCACATATCAGAGAAAATATTTGATCTTTGATTCTTTGGTGACTGGCTTGTTTCACTTAGTATGATAGTCTTCTGTTCCATCCATTTTCTGACAAATGCCATAATTTCATTCATCTTTATGGCTGAGTAATAATCCATTGTGTATATATTTTCTTTATCCATGCATCTGTTGAAAGGCATCCAGGTTGGTTCCACAGCTTAACTATTGTGAATTGTGATGCTATAAACATAGAAGTGGCTGTGTCACTGTAATATGCTGATTTTAAATCTTTTCCATATATACCAAGGAGTGGGAGAGCTGGGTCATATGGTGGTTCCTAGTCTTTTGAAGAATAATCTCTATACTGATTTCCAGAGTGGTTGCACTAATTTGCAGTCCCACCAACAACTTTAATGCTTCACTATTACCTTTTGTATCTGGTGTTTGGGGTGAGTGGCCAGACCTAATTGAATGAATACCCAGAATCAGGCCTCTGGCCTAGGGCTCAGGAACAACCACTAGACTAGGCTTCCTGCAAACAGGTGGAAATCAGCAACCTATCACCACTTTCAATTGTTTCAAATTTTTGTTTTCCCCTATATCCACAGAATAAGTGCCCCCACAATCTAATGATGCAGATCCTTCTTAGAAATTTCTTAAGAAATACTTAAGAATATGTCTTGAGAATAAGGCTTAAGTTTAAGGGAAGCAAAAAAATGAAATAAAAATAAGCAATATTCTAAACATGCAAATATTATTTTAGAATTATAAATGCATATAAAATAGTTTATTGCTCCCAATAACTCTATAAGTGAATTCTTATTTTTCCTACTGTGGATATGAGATTCAGAGCAATGTGAAAGTTGTGTTAACTTCTGAAATAAAATCTGAACCTAACATCTGCAAGAGGCAAAAATATCCACAACAAAAGAGAACTAAACATGATAAAATTCTTAAAGGTAGTCAAGAGAGTATGGTAAGGGGATAAAGATAAACCAGTGAGTCAAAAGAACCCATGACAGTCCAGAAGTAGAACCACATTTAATTGGTCAATTGATTTTCAACAAAGGCTCCAAGGCAATTTAAAGGAGAAAGAAGAAAAACTTTCAACAATGAGCACTGGAACAAGAATAGCCATATGGAAAAAAATGAACTTTGACCCTTAGCTCACACCATACACAGAGACTAATTCAGGATGGATCATTGACTCAAAGATAATACTATACAACTTCTAAAAGAAAACATAGATTGTCTCCATGACCTGGGGATAGGCAGGGGTGTTTTAGACAGTACATGTCTATAAGCATTGTCTATAAAACAAAAACCTGATCTATTGGACTTTCTAAAAATTAAAATCTTCTTTTCATCAAAAGATATCATTAAAGAACTGAATAGGCAATCCACAAACCATGAGAAAATATTCTCAATATACTTATTTGAAAAAGAACTTATATGCAAAAAAATGACAATAAGAAACAAGAAATATACAATTAAAAGTAGAAAATATGGAAAATATTTGAACAGACACTTCACAAAGGAAGATAAATGGATGGTTTAAGTGCACATGAAAAGGTATTTAATGTCATTAGTCTTCAAAGATATGCAAATCAAAACCTGGAGCATTAGAAAGGGAAGAATTACAAAGACAGACAAAATCAAATATTGACAAAGGAGTAAAGCAAATGGAACTCTCATGTCATGGAACACCAAATAGAGAAATTGTATTATAGTTTTTTATAAAGATAAACATGGATCTGTCCTATAATCTGATAATTCTATTTCTAGATATTCACCCAAGACAAATGAAAACTTACAGCCTCAAAAAGGATAGCTCAAGAAGGATTTTTGACTGGGTGCAGTGGTGCACGCCTGTAATTACAGCAAATCAGGAGGCTGAAGAAGGAGGATCTCAAGTTTGAAACCAAGTTCCAAATTAGTGAGGCCCAAAGCAACTTAGTGAGACTCTGCCT